CGTCGTTGCTCTCCTTGTCCGCTGAAACCAACTTGACGGGGTGCACGTTGGGATGGGTCGCAACGAGGTCTTTGAGCGACTGCGCAGTGGGATCGCGAGTGCCAGCAAAGACGATGGTGTTCGGACGTGCTGCGATCGTCTTGGCGAGGACGTACCCGATGCCACGGTTGGCTCCGGTGACTACAGAGGACGTCAATTCGTTGATCAAATTGAGAAGCAGGGAACACTACTGAGATAGACGGTTTTGGTGGACATGAAGGACTCGGGAGGAAGGATGGATTGGATGAAACGCATACATGCGACCCTTTTAACCGGCCTCAATTACCAAGGAGCGGCTAATTAGTAAACACGGTCCGTTACACGGACCGGGCAATGATGGCTCCCGAGCGATCGGGAATTATGTAAAAGCTGCTAAATCCCACGACGAGGGAAGGGAGAAGGGTTCCTGGCGGAAAACAAGATGGGGATTCGGAGAGTCTAGACCGGCGGGAGCCTCGACCCCGGCCCTCGAACTGGCGGCCTGAGCCTTGCTTTCAATGCTCTGGGATGGTTGGTACACTGGCGTCGTCTCCGTCGCGGGTGCAGTCCGGATTCGTGTTGAGGGGAGGGCTGAGAGTGGTCCGGAGCAAAGAGCAGATTGATGGATGTGTCATCGTGACAAACATGGACAAATCTGTCAACGGCTGCTCTCATCTCTCATCTCGTCCAGAAGCCTCTGCGGATTTATCCGTCATATTTCTCCTCAGCGACGAATATTCCGTGTAGGTGGGCCTCCCAATTCGGGCAATATTAGCGCATCCCACACCGTCCAAGTATTTCAGTGGAGCGGTCCTGATCTTTTTTTGAGCATGCAAGAATAGTACACTAGACGGGTATCCGACGCGGCGATTCTGCCGGTATGGCCATGCCTCGTGATTCACCTGCTTTTCCTGGTACCCGACTCTCGACATGCCTCCATCCCAGACCCTCGAAACGCTGCCTGGCCTCATCTCTCGGAACCTAGAGAATTGTCCGCTGGATCCATTCTGCATCTATGCCGAGTCTGGCCACCTCGTGACTATCACTCAGCTCGAATTCGGTCGAGCTACGCATCGAGCTGCTCATCTGCTTCGTCCGAATCGTCAAGGCCAGGACTGGAAAGTTGTCGCCATCATCGCCGAGTCCGACACCATCTTGTATCATGCCGTGCTTGCCGGGCTTCTGACTGCTGGTCTCACCGTATGCACTGTCCTCCTTACTATCGACATTCGCTCATATTGTGAATGAACAGCCGTTTCCCATTTCGCAGAGGAATTCTCCCCCCGCGATCTACCAGCTGCTGCGTGCAACTTCTTGTCACCACATTATAGCGACACGCGTCACTCTTGCCCCCATCCTGGCTCGACTTGCGCAGCATATCGCAGATGTCGACCCAGGATTCACGCTGACCATCGAAGAAATTCCGCCCCTACGACAAGTATACCCCAACCTCGGCTGCGAAACCCTGGATTGTGCTTTCCACGCATATCCGGCGCTTGATATCCAGCCAACCGGGGACGACGTCATCATGTACCTACACTCGTCCGGCAGCACGGGTTTCCCCAAAGCAATTGCCTGGACATACCGATTGCTCACCCATAGTTTCGCCGGTATGTATCCCTCCTCCACACGTCTTTTCTTTGTGTCCCTCACAAGCACGCAGTCTCAGCCATCGACGTACGAGCCTGCGTCCCCACACCGAAAAGTGTCATGGGCATGCCGCCATTCCACCTCATGGGAATCTTCGCCCAAATGGTTCGCCCTTTATACGGAATGGTTGCTGCTGTGTATCCCCGACGGCTACAACACCTGAAACCCTCCCCATGAGTCTGTCTCCGGATACAGTCCTCGAACATGCTCGGAGGACGAAATGCCGGACACTGACCATCATCCCCTCCTTCATGGTGACCTGGTACAACTCACCCGACGCATTCGCATATGTCAAGACACTGCACTCTATCCGTGTGTGCCACCAATCCTATCTATGATAAGCCCGGACCGAAAACTCGTAGATTTGGGGTGGCGGTCCCCTTCCGAAACGCATCGGAGACGGCTACGTTGACGCCGGACTGCGTCTCCTCACTGTGTATGGCACTACCGAGACCAGTTTTATCGCCGCCCTGTGTCCATACGAGGAGGACGCCAAAGACTGGGCGTGGTTCCGCGTGGCAGATCAAGTGAATGCGAGGTGGGACCCTCAGGGCGATGGGACGTTCGAGTGTCAGATTCTTGTGCGTTTCTCTCCCTGGTTTCTTTTTTTGGTGTTGATGCGGAACCTGAAGGCTACGGAGACGCATCTTCCCTCCGTGTTGAATCTTTCGGACGTACAGGGATACGCGACGTCTGACCTCTGTGTGAATCACCCGACAAAGAAACATCTGTGGAGAATGTGCGTGCTCTCTTGGTTTTACTCCGAGGCATACTTGCTCACGATTCAGTGTTGGTCGACTGGATGACAACCTCATTCACACTTCCGGGGAGAAGACGGTCCCTGCTCCCATGGAGAATCTGATCATGAGTAGCCCGCTGTGCGTCCCATTTCCAATTTGTTTCTCCTGCCGAAAGAAAATCCTAGCATCAAGGCCGCCGTGGTGTTTGGACATGAGCGTCTACAGACCGGCGTACTTCTGGAGATGGTGCCAGGTTCGGAAATTGACGTCCAGAATGAGGCTAGGGTAGCCGAGCTGAGGAATGAAATTTGGTACGTCCCCTTGTATGTGGACTGGCACGAAAAACCAGTTGAGCAGATTCTAGGCCAGTGATTGAGGAAGCCAACGCCATCGCACCGGGATTTAGCCGTCTCTTTAAAGAGATGATACTCTTTGCCTCTGCGGACAAGCCCCTTCCCCGGGCTGGAAAAGGGACGGTTCTGCGGAAGGCCGCTCTCAGTCTGTATGCCCCTGAAATCGATGCCTTGTGAGTATCAAAGTTCTCAGCAAGTTTCGAGAAGACCCATGGGTTGTAGATACAAGCGGGTCGAGGAACACGCTGTGGACATCATCGAGGCGCCGACTGTATGGAAGGTTGAATATATTCGGCCGTGGTTGTTGGAGGTGGCGGCCAGTGTTTGCAGTTTCATGGCATTCTCGCCGCGCACAGATCTTCGTCAGCAGGGATTCGACAGGTCTGTACACTTTTGCTTCCTTCACACTACGGATGATTGATTCCTTCTTCAGCCTCACGGCGACTATCTTTCGATTACACATCACCAAGGGTCTCCGTTCGCGCAAGCTCGGAAAGGAGGCCAAGGCAATACCCCAACATCTCGTTTATTCTCGTCCGACTATCGAAGAACTATCCATCTTCCTCGAAAGCTTGGTTGCTGGGACTCTATCCCAAACCGAACTTCAAATAAACCCAGTGGCGGAGTACATCGCCCCCATGACCTCCGACACAGTCGTCGAGCTCCGCACTGAGGGTGATGGAGTCCCACTCATCCTATTCCCCGGCATCCGTGGCACTCTCGATTCACTCCGAACGCTCCGCGCACATTTCCGTGGAACCATGTGGGGCATCCAAATTCACGACTCGACGCCCATTGCTCCTTTTGCAACCTTCGCCGCCTTCCTGACGGAAAAAATCCGCGAAAAACGACCACATGGGCCGTATCGCTTGGCCAGCTACTCGGGATCCTCCGTGCTTGTCGTCGCCGTGGCAAAAGCATTGGAAGAGAGCGGCGAGGAGGTCACACAGCTATCATTCATCGACCAATTCCCCTTGTACTGGACCCTCGAGTCTACGTATGAGGCGTTGCGGGACGAAGAGAAGCGCCGGACGTGGGCTGCGGATGTGCCAAACCTCTCGGTTGAGCTCGTCGCGCATGATCCACTCTATGGGCCGGAGAGCGATCGGTACAAGGAGCTCAAGGCGATTGCGGCTGCATCTGCCACGGGGCAACCACATGAAAATGAGTTCGAACTGAACAGGATGGTGATTCGACAGCGTCTGGTGACTTCGTTGCTTGATTTTCTCGCAACCTTCATAGCACCCACAAGCGCTGGCTCCGAACTTGCCGAGTACGCGGATGCGGTCAATCGCTGGTTGTCCTCCGTCAAGGCACCCCTCAGCGCATTCACAGCGGAATTTGGGATTGTGGCCAGTATACCGGAGGAGTTGCGTGGGGAGTGGGGGGATTTAGGTGCCAGTCGGTGTTTCAAACCTGTTAACCACCATTTCTTGGATGGCGTGGGGCATTCGGGGATTATGGGGGATAAGAGGTTGTCGGAACTTTTGCAACAGTACGCGTCGTAACAAAGTGATATATCATTGAGTCTGCCTTTACGTGGACAGTCGTGCAGTTGGTGGCGGAGGCCACGATGGAGGCGGAGGTCACGATGGAGGCGCGTTGATCCTACATATGCTTTTAGTTCCGAGGAAGTTGGGAGCAGTCCACCAAGTTGACATTGGTCAAGACTACAAGTCCTGTACCCACAGCCTGGCCACAGCCCCGCCCAAAGTGGGATTACATAAATTGTGTTGGAAACGGGGCCCGTTGCGTGTTCAACATCTTGATATTGATTCTTGACGATTTATACTTAGACTCTTACGGCCTCCACATTTCCGTACTTACCCGCGATATAGACTTAGACGCGTCCTTCTCCCGTGATTCTTACTATTTTCTAGTTTACTTATATACGGGCTCTTCTGTTGTATCTCAGTAGCTTGATTCGTGAACCCGATCATTGTTCCGTTCTCAACAAATTGCTCGGGCACAGAGCTCGTTCGATTCGAGCGTGTCACGTTGAATGTGAGAGTGGATTTGTTTCCCGCCCAAGCCAGGTATTTGGGAGGTTTTTCCTACCTGTCCTGACTCCTGAGTCCTCAGCAGGCACTCACTACCGGATTGTTTTTTTGGCACGGAGCTGAATGCCGTGTGCTAAAGTACGGTTCCACGAATGGTCGTGATAAATTCATCCTGACCCTCATTCTGGGTGGCACTTCCCAATGAAGTTATTGGGGAACGTGTGAAGCAAAAGAAAAGGTGGCATCACCGTGGATTGAACACGGGACCTCCAGATACCGAGAGATCTTCGATCGGAACTACTTCAGTCTGTTGCTCTCCCAGCTGAGCTATGACGCCGTGGAATAGGGGTTTTCTCCAGTACCCTCACCACCGGTCCAACATAACGCAGCCGGCAACGGGGACGCTCTACGCAGCTGAGACGACTCCAAACTGATGAACGCCAAATTGTGATGCGGCCGAAATGCAGGGATCGTTGCCATTCATTCCGTGGAGGCCGCTGGGGCTGCCAAACCATCCAACGGCGACGATATTGATCCTACGGGAGACTGGAGTAATGAACCATTTCAAACACTCCACACCATTTCTGACGTAAGAGAACGAGGAACCGAATAATCTCACATGCGGCACTGCACTGCAGCGAGGCCACTTCGGATTCTATCCGAACACTCACAGCCTCGAGCTCGCCCTCTTCGTTCGAGTTCACTGGGTCTTCGACTTCCTTAGTTGGTTTTTAGTATTACATATACAGCACCGGTTTCAAGCTGAGTTGGATGGAGTTTTCTAGGCTGAGGCTGGGTCGAGGTGCGGACTCGAAGTTGAAACTACGCCGCCACAGAGTCCGTATCTATCGCGCAGTTACTACTTACTCAGTTACTGCGCCAACGCTTTCAGAGTTGCCTTTTTCCTGCTCTCGTGCACGGTGCTAGTGAGGAGCCGATGCGTAGTTCAGGTGAGACGCCGTCTGATATATTGCGCCGGGTGTTCGCGTCCCGCGAGGTGGCTAAAGAAGAGCCTGGTAATTGCCGTCGACGCCTTTGCATCACTCTGACCTGATTGATGCGCGCTTGATGCATTTCGCGCCGCATGATTCACAGCTTATTTTTTGCTCAATCATTTATGCCAGCACGGTGCGTGAGCTGGTGGTCGTCAAGGCTAGAATTTTCGCGGGTGTTTCACTCTGTACAGCACCGACTGCTTGCTTTGGAAATCTGGGGCGCATGTGATGGATGATGAGGTGATCCGCGGCCCCGACGGCCACTGATTATGACTCAGTTGCTTCCACGTTGTCCTCTCCTTCCAGCCCTCTCTGTATCTCCATTGCCAATCCGCGGCCCAGGGGCGGCGCTTGTCGGGAAGAAGCAGTCGGCGCACCACCCACCTCCGACTCCGTCTCATGCTCTGTCGCGGGTTTACGACAGCTCTACAGCTGTCGCGCCCAACTGGGATGAACGAAGTTACAACAGCAGCCAGGCCATGAATCGCCGCTGGCAGGGAGTCATCATTGATCAAGTGGCAGGCAGACACAGCCCTCCGTGTTTAAGACTCGAAGCTCGAGGCAAGGATCCGCAGTGAGTATAAATACCCTGCCCTCGTTTCTTGTCCTAGTCACAGTCCTCTGATGACTTCCCCGTCGATCCCTCTGCTCTTCAGCTCTCAGATTGACGACCGTGAACGCGTGCACTACTCTCGTGCCTGGGATCCAGCGGCGGAATGGGGGGGCTACGAGTGTGATGCACCAGGTCCGTCCCTCAATAGCCTTTTTAACTGCATCACTGACGCCGCAGTCCAGGGCATGCACAGTACTACACCGAGTCCCAATATTCGTTCTCGGGTAACAACCAGTACACGGAGAACATCTACGCGGACTGGCCTTTGCCGCTGCCCGCAGTTTCCTGGACTCGAAGCGAAACGCTCATGTCCGCGCTCACGCCACCGCAGGAGGCACACTCACACTGCCTTGTCGCGTCACCAGCTTCCTCTTCATACACCCTACCCTCGCCAACGCCGCCCTCCCCCCGGTACATCCTCCCTCGGGCAGGCTGTCCTTCACCAAGTTCCATTTCGTCATCCTTATCTGCGTCACCCATGCCATCTACCCCGCCGTCGCCCATGCTCCCCGCTTCATCTTCGTCGAAGGGGAAGAACCAAAAATGCTGTTCCCATTGCCAGACCACCATGACACCCCTCTGGCGGCGTGACCCCATCACACGCTCACCCCTCTGCAACGCCTGCGGACTCTACCTCCAACAGCGTCACAAACCCCGCCCCGCAGCCCTCATCGCCGCCGACGCCGAGCTGCACTCGGAACTCCCAGATTCGGGAAACTGGGCTCCGGACGCACCTACGTGCACGCATTGTGGGGCACACAAGACGAGCGTGTGGAGGCGGGCCAAGGACGGGAAGCGGTTGTGTAATGCGTGTGGGGTTTATGTGCGACTGAGGGGAAGACCCAGGCCGTTGACGCTCAAGCAGAGTCGGGTGAGACCACGGGCGAGGCACCCGTAGAGGCGGGGGTTATGGCGCGATAAAACTAATGTTAATCTTCGTTCGACCTGTTTTTTGTGGCTCGATTATCATGTCGAGTTCGACTTTGAGTACCTAAACAGCTGCCTACCATAGCTCACAATCAAAATGTACACTATTTCTGATCCGACTCAGCCACCTCGTAGTTGCGCGCTTCAGTATTTTTCAAAAGACTCAGAATGGCTGCAACATGATGCTGTACCGCCCGTTTGAGTAAGGACTCTGTGGGGCGCGTTCGATTCGCCGCAGGGCCCTGCGGCCGTTGGTAGGGTTTTTTCTTCTAAGGTCCACTCTCGACAGCAACAGCTCCTCGCAGGTGCGCATGTGTGCTTGGAGTATTGAGTATTTTTGAGCCGGCTGTCACCGCCCGCACCCGGTCAATGGCAAGACTCAGAATGAGTATATATACAATACACATTTCGCGTTCGATTCGCAGTCGTGCCCTAACGCTTCGCTGTCGTCCTTTTTTGACCGTTTGTTTGAAAGCTCGATATTGGAGACTGATCATGATCCTACGAAAGCCGGAGGGAGGTACTTACATAAAGCGGGCACTGTGGCGCAGTTTGATATTTTTGAACTGTCACTAGCAGTGAGCACGCCCAGTCGGTGGAATTACATGAAAAGTCAACAACTCAGAATGAGTAGAGGAATGCATGCGCCCATGATGCTGCACCGCCCGTGCCGGCAATTCCTGCCTTCCGACTTGGCGTTCGATTCGCCGTCGGGCCCTACCACCGTAAGTCACTGCGGCCTTTTTTCTCTTTTCCTCGCCCGAGTCCCTTGATATGATGGAAGTGACACTCCAAAGCCGGCGGGCTGACCACGGGCGAGGCGCGGTCAAGGTGCGGTACAATTAGTTTTGACTCTCTTGATTCATTCGACTTATTTCTGTGTATTGCAATCATGTGGAGTTCTCCACAGCTACAGCTCCACCCAGTCGCGCGCTTTGATATTTTTGAACTGTCACCGCGCGCAGTCAGTGAATTGAGCAATCAAGCCACTCAGAATGAGTATAAGAACACTCCCGCCCGGGTGAGTAAGCAAGGCTTACTTCCGTATTGCGTTCGGTTCGCCACCGGGCTCTGCACGAATATCGGTAACCTTTTTTCTCCTTTCTTCGGATTCTCGCCGAGGTCCACTCTCAATATCTATAGCCCCTCGCAGTTGCTCATGCCCGCTTCAAGTTGGAATATTGAGTATTTTTGAACTGTTTACATACCACCGGGTGCAGTCAGTGAATTGCGTAGTCAAAGAAGAGTGAGTACAAGGACATGAAATAAGTCCTTCCTCCCGACTTGGTGTTCGATTCGCCGTCGGGTCCTACCCAGATGCCATTCTATTTTCTCTTTTCTTTGACGAAGTCCCTTGGACACGATGGAAGTGACATTCGATTGGCAAGTCGGCGGGCTGACCACGGGTGAGGCGCGGTCAAGGTGCGGCATTTGACTTATTTCTGTGGAGTTCGATTTTTTGAGCGCTTACCCACTGTCGTTCTGTATAATAAGACTGTATCACAATGAAAATGTCTGATTCATTTATTCGAGGTCCACTCTCAACAGCGGCAGCCCCTCCCAGTTCACTGAGCACAGCGAGGACCGTGAATTTTACGGCGATGATTCACTGACCTAGGTGGGTGATTTTCAGTGGAGCCACAGCGTGAATTTCACTGTCATCTTGACAAGATTCACGGCATTCACTAACGCAGAATCGTGGGCGATTCACGGTGACCCAATCACGTACCTTTGCAGCGAATTCCATTGCAATATGTAGTGAATGTCTAACTGGTAACCAAAATCTACGTGAAATTCAGGCCAATATTTGGGTGGAATTCAGGAAATTTATACACGAATACATTGATCAAATTGTACTTTAATCGTCCTTGGACTCGACGTCGTTGCCGCCCTGGTCATCACGCATATCTACGTCTTCACCACAATCGTCACCACCCGCGCGATGTTCGCTCTCGCTCTCGGCATCCGATGAGTCGATCCGACGCGGATGAGGACGGGCCAGGCCCGCCGTTGGGGCCGAAGTCGATGGAGTGGGGGATGGTGAACGGTCAGGGACTTGCTGAGAGGTGCGGTCGGCGGCGTGGAGGCGGCGGTACGAGTTGGGGTTCTGCATGTCGCGCTGGTAGTTGTTGACGCTGTCCCAATACTGCTTGGCGACGCGTTCGATGCCCCAGAGGTTCTTGAAGCGTTTCGCCTCGGGAAAAGCGTCTTCCTGGATCACCTAATGGGAAACTCAATGAGAGGGACAACCCGAGTCACTGCACACGCACCACATTCCACACCGCCCCCAGATGGGTCGAGTCCTGCGACAATCGGAAGACCAGTCCAGGCGAGCAGCGTGCAATGCACGCTGAATGTACAGCTGGGTTTGTCATCAGCAACTAGCGAAGAGGACATAAAAAGCACGCACCCGGAAGCCATTCATTCCACTTTGGTTTGTCGTAGCCGAGGTGCGAGGGGATCATTGACATCGGGACTTTCGATGCCTGCCTGGGCCGCTCGATGGACCCGTCGGCGACCGAAGGTGAGGTGGCGTTGCCACCCGAAGTCGCCGATTGAGCTTTACGAGCTTTACGAGCACGCTTCTCGGCTTTGCGGCGCTTCCGCTTCTCGTGGTCGAGCGCCTCTGGAAGCATGTCAGCAACTCGAAATTGAGGATACCTAGCGACGCACCCGTGAGTTCTCTGAGCTGGTCCTCCGTGCTGTTGACAGTTGCGAGCGGCGTGCGGGAGTCGTCGCCGTGACGAGAGTGGCGGTTGTGGTGTTTATGGTGTTTCGAGTGGAGAGTTTTCTTTGGAGGAG